CCAGGAAGTAGCAAAACCCTGGCTTCATTTTCTCAGTGCAGAAACCAACGGGTGACGTCACGGTAGCTACGTCCATCTTTTATACAGTCTATGATTCTGACTTGCAGAATCTGGTGCAGCCTTGAGGCCAATTTTGAAAATGTTTGAATACTTGCCGTCACGGTCTGTGGAAAATAAATTCTACTGAAAGATCTTTGGTTATCATTTATTTATATAATATTCCTCTATTTATATCAGTCACTACCATGATTAGTCTTTTTCAGAGAAAACAACATGCTTACGTGTTTGTGGGTTCAGGCTGACCACTGCTTTTACTAATGTGACATGTGAGCGTGTTACATAATTAAGGTTGAATATAGAGACCTCATGAGGAATGGAGTTTCAAGTCTGAAGAAGCTGCTTTGTTAGCATATGGAATGTAGAGTGTCTGATCAGATAAACTCTAGTGGAACCATTTGAAATGAGCCAATGAAAAAGACTGTTCACTGTCCTACCATAAATTATAAACAAGCTGCCACTCATGTTCAACTCTTTGAGAGAGATGTTGGACAAATTCTGCTTTTCTCCCCACTGCAATAAATTAAAATTGACCAATGAAGCAAGTGTTTGTGTTATATTTTAAGGTCAGTAATTTTTGATGACAGACCTGAAAAACTGATGACTTTCCCATCATTTGTACTCACTGTTCAGTGCTTATTAGCAAATGTTTGCATGCTGACATGCCCTGCTGCTGGTTGTTGTCTTACTCAAATATGAATCTGAATTGCATTTTCTTCCCTCTGTGTCATTATTTCTAAAGCCCTATCATGAAGGCAGATATTTATGTCAATAGAGAGAGAAATTCCTTCAAGCTGGCAGCTCGACAGTGTTAGTAAGCCACTTCCCTGTCGGTCACAGGTTTATGAAAAGAAGACCAGAACACTTATTTCCATGGCCTTTCTTTCATGTTTACTTGATTTCTCTTATATTTGCCTTATCCTGTCTCTTGTCTTTGTTTTATTTGTTATTTACTACTGGAATAACCTTCTGCTCACACAGCGAGCACTAAAGGAAAATAATTATATATAAAAGAGCACTTTGTGAGAGCAGAGAGGTTATTTACCTTCAAACTCAGTGATCTTAGTGTTTTCAATAATGATGGATGAACATGAACAAGACACCGCTTCATACGAAACACCTCTTGTATATCTTTGTTGTCTTATAAAAGTACCACTGCCATAACATCATTTCCCTGATGTGGCAGAAGACTACACTCCAATGTCAAAGAAACTCAGATTTTAGTATTGAGCTGTTCTGTAGTAATACAACAGTCAGAGTCAGATACACAATCACTGCAGCTCATGAAATAAAGCTGAAGCATCCAGTGAACATACATGAATAAGACACAATCCGTCACACTGCCTGCATCGACAGTTCACTTGTCTGCTTCATCAGATGAGACAGGCAGCAGTGTAGACATACGAAATAAATAAATTAACAGTACCTTTGCTGCATGCTTTTATCTGAGCACTATATTCAGTTAAAATAACCTTATCTCAAGGTCCCCTAACTATCTCTATACAAAGCTTTAAATTCTTATTCTCTTCATCATCCCATTGACATCTTGCTCTGTACAAGGCAACCAACAGAAGATTGTTTTGTCAACCAGTTTTTCTTTGTCAAAAATGAACTTTCACACTCAGATATGACTTTGGTGTTACAAGTCAGTTTACAATCTGTATCTATGTACTTGAGGACAATGGCTGAACTGAGGGAAATGGCTGGATCAGAGCGATGTCCTAAGAAGAAAGTTAGACATATCCGGGCTTTCTTTATGTAAGCTGGCTCTACAAAACCTAAAACCCCAATCAGAGACGAAGGGTATCACAACAGTGGGTATCAGCTTTCTTTGTTAATCGGGTTTTCTTCTACAGGCTCTGAGGGTACTTCCATAAAAACTGTTACTTGACTCTTCTTCTGCACAAAATTGACCAATCATTTACTTCAGGCCTACTCCAGGCAAGAGGAGCAGGTTTTTCTAATGGAGATCTATGAAGAATATAAGATTTATGGTAGTAAAAAGCAACACTGTTGGTGCAAATGATGCATGACAGAAATGTTGAAACCAGTGCATTCTCACTGCAGCTGCTTATTTCTAATTTGAGAGCTGCACGTTCATTTAAACAAGACACTCAACAAGTGTGTTCAGGTCGGACACTGTCCCATAAGAAAGAATATGTGGAGCTTTAGTTTTTGGCCACATCACAGTGATTTAATATCCTCTGTGATAAATATCAACAGAATACAGGATATATTTTCTAATCTGTGTTTCATTAGCTGTAGTATCAGCAGTATTAAAAGGACTGGGTAAAAAATGCATAAATATTATTTTATACGTCTACAATCGTGTTTTCTGCCTCATCACCTGAATACTTGTATGTTCAAAAAGCAGCACAGTGCACATCGTGTGTGACGCTGTAACTGCACAACTTCATTCAGTGGGACCACTAACGTACAGGTTTGCAGATTCCCTCAGCTGAGCTGTTCAGAGAGCATGATCAGAAAAAGAACTAGTGAAAGAGCGATGCTTCTTACAGAATCCTAAACTCTAAACAGAACCTCCTCTGGATCAGGTTAGCTGTGCAGCATCAGTTACCATGGTGATGCAGCAGGTTGCAGGAGAATCACTTTCAAGACATTAAAACAGTGACTTTAGGCTCAACATACCTTGCTAACCCATTCATTTTGCTTTGTTGCTGTCCAGCTGATGGTTTCCTCTACTTATTTTTCATGCAGCAGTGTGAATGAAGCGGAGCACAATATCTTTTAACTAAAATGCAGATGGATTATCAACAAGAATGGTCCAATCAGGGTAATGCAGCCGTCCACAGGCAGAGGAAACGATTTACAACCAATAAATCAGTTACTGTTTACAAAATCACAGGGAATGCTTCAACCCAATAAAGGGCATTTACCACATCGCCATTTTAACACACAGCAACAGTCAGAGTAAGTTAGTCAGCAGTGACGCATAGACCAGAGCATCCTATAGAGTTTAGGATAAAACAAATATGAGCAGAGGATGACAGACACCAAACAATAACTTACCTCTCTTCCCTTCCAATGGCAGAAGAAAGAAAAAAAGAGAAGTGGAGAGCACAGTCAGATAAACAATAAGAACTTTAAATTTTCTCCTGGAATTCCTTATTGTCTTAACAAGTCCCCCCCTTTTTTTTTTTAAACATCCATTTGCTCAGGAAGGAGAAGATAAACTGTGATATCATGACTCTGTTTTTAGCAGCATGAGTCTTCCTAACTGCTGCTGCAACTTTCTTTCAGCTTCTTTTGAGAAGCTCCTGATGCTCTTGGTTTGTGACTTACTCGGAGCCATGCTGAATGAGACACAACCCAGAACAGAACTGAGAAAGCTGTGGTGGTCACAGGTTCTTTTAGACCCATGGTTTAAATGAAAATTGCATATGCAGCTTTTTTTGCAGCGGTCATACAAGATTTGATTTCTTCTGAGAACTTTCAAGTAGGGGCCAGTATGTTTGATGTAGCTTATCTAATCTGCTTGTTGTCAACTATACACTGGATAAAACAGCCTACATTTCACATCACGGACAGACAATTATTGCTGGATGATGCTTATTGAATGATTCAGGTTTTTAGTCATACGGTACTTAGCTTTGTTTCGTACTCATGTATGTCTTAAAACATATTTACCGGGGATATTTAAATGTCAAGTCACAGAGAAGACAGCAGCATCAATGTGAACTGACTCCAGCTCTTAACTTCTTAGTAACAAAACAAAAACAAAAAAATGGCGAGGCAGCTAGCACGCTGTTGAAAGTGACAGTAACCGTGTAAACAATTATGATTCATTTCTAAATTTAATCTGCGACAGCTTGTGGCGGCGCCCTGTCAAAAAGCCTCTAATTTGTAGTTAACATCACATCTGAAGCTCGGAGCAGAGATCCGCGGTCGCCATGGCAGCGGCAGAGCGCGGCGTCTTATTAATAGCACAGAAACAGATGCCTGAGCACCACGCTGCCACTTAGGGCCGATCAAACCGTCACATCTTAACACCTATGATTGATCAGTTTTACACCGTGGCATAAAACTCTGCGTGCATATGGGCCGTGGGCGTTGTTTTCATTGTGCCTCCACCGCAGACATTAATGCAGCGCCGCCACTTGCCTTGTCATCTGCCACTAAATCATGAACGCTGCCAGCAGAGGCAAAGGAAGAAATGGGCAGAGCTGCGAAAAGTAACCAAGAATGTAAATGAAATGATCAAGTGACTTGTGGCTTCTTCACCGCTGTCACTCCGAAGGAGAGAGAGAGAGAGAGAAAACGGAAAGGAAAGTTTCAGAGGTAAACTGTTCCTGTTGAAATTCAGCATAAACAAGAAAGACAAGACGTGTTTCCTGTAATAGGTCAGGTAATGACGGAGTCCCTGATACTCTGCACTGATGACTCCGTCTGAACTGATTATTGTTTGATTAACCAGACCAGGCTCTCCAGCTCAGGACAGACAGGCTTTCTTCCACCAATGATTTTCAAACCTGCAAATCACTATCCAGATATAACTGATATTTTGTTATTTTTTACTCTAATTCTGTAAATCTGCTGTAGCTGAAGGGAACAACTGCTGTTAGCTTCTGCTGTGGTGGCTTTGTATTTTTCTATTGTGTTGGCTAATCCCCATCAAGACCTATTGCATCCATGTTTTAGAGCTTACTGCTCTGAGGGTTTTGTGAATCAAAGCTGCTTCAAGTCATTTTCTTTAAGGATGGCACTTTTTTTGTTGTTGTTGTTGCACGTGACCGATAATAAAAAGTAGTCACAATATGTTTTTCAATAAATGAAAAACTTGTTTCTATATACTGACGATTCCAAATTCTGAATCATACAAAACATGCAAGGTCCCTGCAGCTTTCCAAAAAAAATTTTTTTTCCTGAATTGTTTAAAGTACTTAGTGTGATTGAAAGGAAACACAAAAATGAGCTCCTTGGAACATCCATTTTGCTAAATGCATTATGGGTCTTCCACGAGCTGACCTAATAACCATGCATGTCTATCCATGCTACTTTGTCCTGAGATGCACTGTTCTGTGGAACTCCTCTTTTCCTAGAGAGTGCAAAGGTGGCATGACCCATAGAACCTCATTAAAGGTAAATACATCATAATTAGCCACAGTTATTGGTCATGTAGCCGTGCATGGGCTAGATGTCTTCATTTAAAACTGCAAGACACAGCATTGGCCTTGACGAAGGACTAAGATCTGAGCGTGCCGTTTCCTCTTATGTCTGCTTGTTTATCGATATGTGACTGTTGTGCATGTTTGGTATTTGTTGTAAAGCACTTGTAACACTGGCTTTGAGCCTATAAAACAAACATTATTATCATATCATTATTACAGTGTAGGGAGTTTGCTGTACTATTTATCTTTAAAAAAAAAAGAAAACATAAAGAGACAAACAGAAATCCTATAACACTAGATACCTCAGAGTGATGCTCGTCGTTCTGCTGCAGCACCTCGATGCAGAGCTCTCCCAGCCTCATCATGTCCTCTAGTCTCTTCTCTGGAGCAGCTTGAGGGTCTACTAAAGGTTAAAACATAGCAGGAAACATGCAGGATAGAAATGAAAAACTCTGCAGGAAAACATTCAAACACGACTACGTTTCCCATGAGCTTCACCTGTGTGCACCATGCACTGTCTTCTGGGTCTGACCTTAATGCAAATGATGCAAACATCCATCCTTCCGAGAGGATTTACAGTTAACATTTAAATGAACCCATGACCTTTCCTCAAGCACCAGCCACAGGAAAAAAAAAAACATACTTTGCTCCAGTACAGGAAAAGCTTGAAGACCTTTTATGCTTTTGTCAGTTTTCTTTAGGGATAGACAGTGTTCCATGGAAAGAAAGGTCCCAGATCAGCGAGGTCATGACTGAGCACCTCACCTCTTCTCTCTTTTATCCTCTATGCATTTATATCCCACTATAGCATGTGACTGATTTGTACTCTAGCTTAGCTCTAATGTGTGAAGAGAGATTGTAACAGTAAGTGGCAGGAGGACATGTATGTTTTGTGTAAGTCAACGGAGGAGGAGAAGGAACTGTGACATCAGGATACGTTTGGGAAAAAATCGGATTCTGGCAGCCTCTATAAAAATGCAATAGTCCGTATCAGCAGACTGAGACTTCTCACAATGTTTTGCCTTTAACAAACAATTATTTTTTGTGACACAAAGAGAGCTGAACTTCCCCTGGAAAAAAAAAGAGAAAGAAACTAAAACACTCACCCTTGATCTGAGCGTATTCCATCAGCTGACCATAGTTGATTTGAGCTGCTTTTTCCAGACACTTTTGCACAAGTTTCTTCATGTCCTCTGGAGGAACAGGTGTAGTGATGTCTTTCATCAACACCTAAAATGACAAACATCTCATTTTAGGTTCAGAAAATTCAGTAATACAGAAAACTGTCCAGCTTCAGGAAGTTTATCTGCTCTCCTAACTTTATTTAACAGAACGTTATTTATTCTGCCTATGGCAACTCAAACACACCAAAAAATAAGTGCTAAACCTACTGGCTTGTACAGAATAATCATACACTTATTTTTGATTATCTTCATCTTTGTTGTCCGTGTTTTACTGTATGCGCCTTTCTTGACCTGAACATTGTTGTTAGTACTCTGTGTAAGTACACTGAAAACCAAAACTGGAGTGAAATTATTTTAATGTGCAAGCATACTCAGCTGATAAAGCTGATTCTGATGTTTCTGAAACATTGCCGCAATTAGCAATGTCATCACCCATCATGTATCCTATATTATTAAATACGGGCCAAATGATCTGCACCTCTGACTTCTTCTTCTTTGTCCTACCCATTGCATTTAAATTCTACTAAATAGCTTTGTAAAGTTCTGAGAGGATGCAATGTGCACATTTCTGTTGTCCACATGTACACAGCATGCTTTACCAACACTGAAACAAATGTGCACAAAGTTTGCACAAACACATTAGAAATGCTCCTTTACCCGTTCCTGCAAGGAAAGCGTTGCCTTCAGGGCCCCATCTGGTCGTCCAAAAGGAAAGCAGTACCTGCAGAGGCAAAACGTGGGCGGGCGTCACATTTAGAAACAATCTCAAGGACAACTACGTTAAAAAAAAAAAAAAAGAAGAAGTAGAAGAATAGAAAGATGGGAGCAGCAGCAGAAAACGTCAGTCAGCGTCAACAGATGGCTGCCTCCTTTCGTCTAATTACACTGATGAAGGAAGCTTTTCTCACCTCCAGCTCCATCTGAGCACAGACAAGGCGGTTCAGGGAGGTTTCATGTTGCTAATTGACAAGTGAACAGTACTTAATAAACAAAGGCACACAGTCACGCAGGTCAGCCATTTATTAGACAAAAACCTACAAGCAGATGTTCTGTTCCTTTACACTGATACAACTGAAAAAAAAAAAGATAAAACCAAGTGGATTTTAAAAAATATTAACAGGTAGGACTTTGTTTGAAGATTCCATTCGTATTTAAAGTCAGGAGATCATAATGTTCATTTTAAAGAAACTGAAAAATCTGTTGAAGGCAAAATACACTGTAGACCAGAGTAGAAACTGAATTATGTTTGATGAACATGCGCTTCAGTCTGTCGAAGGAGGCTTTGGAAAAAAAGAAAATGCATAACATAAGAACATTTCTGATATATAAATGTGATATATATTAAAACATCTGAGGAGAAAATTATACAGTTAAATGAAAACTCAGTAGAAGACATAATTGACTCAATTATGCTTGATAAAATGTAAATCATTGAGTTTAAATATAAAAAAATGTCAATTACTTTGTAATTTACTCTTATTTGTAGCATATTATCAAATATTGGCTGTTTTTAGCTGCATTCCTGCCTCATGCTTTGCTTTTTTGTCCTAGCAACTGCATTTAACTTCTTCTAATTGTTCTAACTAAACTGTACAAGGCTCAAGCTTGTGTCACTCGACACTGGGGTTCACCTACTCACTCCTTTGTATGGTTCCATCGGTCGTTTTTCTCTTCCACTTTAAAGGTTTCAACATAACCATGTCCTGGTGCTCAAAGTCAGCTCCATAAAGAAACGGTTTTCCCAATTTGGCATGAAACAACTTTGATTTGATTTCACTTTGTATTACTCTGGTCTTCCGAACCACATTAAGCCAGTCATAATGTATAAGACGCTGCAGTGCTCACTGTCACATTTAGCCTTTAGTCTACACATCTGCACTGAGGCCTGCTCAGAACCCAAATTCTGATGTCATGGTCTGACGTCAGGGACTATATTTTCAGTTTGATGGCAAAAGGGAATATGAGGAGTGTGGCTGTATTATTACAAGCTAAAGCCAGGCAACAAAATCTGACAGAGAAAAGTGGAGACTATTATCCATGATGTAAAATGCCAGTCAATTCTCAGTCACGTCTTCTATTCACATGCAAAAGTTTGGATCCGCTTTAACAAATTTCAGCATCAAGAAGTGAGGAGCCTTCAAATGGGAATGCATGTCTACTTTCCATTTCATGAATATAAAAAATAAAAACAAACAATAATTATGGCATGTGCTCAAGTTCAAACGTCCTGTTGTAGCTGCTCTTACTAAACCCCTTTAGCAGATAACAAAGCTTTAAATGCTCTTTCGTTTGGTAACTTTGAATGCTTCCTTTTTTTTTTACCAATTCTTTCTTGTAGATCACTTCAAGTTCTGAGATATTCTTGGCTGTCTTGTACAGCATGTTTAAGCTCATTTTCATATCCTCAGTTATCCTCGGTTGCTTCGAGGCGCCCATTGTTGGTGAGTGTTACCACAAGGTTTCAAGAGTCAGAGAATTTATCAGTTCTGGGAAGGTCATCAGTTGCTAATTCCTAGTAACAGTTCTTGAACATAGCCTGACACGTCAAACAAGGCTAATGAGTTAATGGATGCTCTGAGACTGGACAAGCAGACCAGTAGTGGCCTATGCAAACACCATTACTGTTGGTAATGTTTTCAACATTTAAAGAACACCTATGTTTAAATGACAGGTTTTTTTCCTCTTTTCACAATAAAAAACATCCACTAAATACATGGTGTACACAAAGTGTCCAGACCTTTGACAGCAGCTGTACTTTTTTGCCTGGTCATGTAGTCAGGCTGTTTGGTGAGGAACCCATACTGGTATGTGTGAGAAATCAACATGCCCCACCACCTTAGTCACGGAACTAAGATATTTAACTGTTGTTGAGTAAGAATAAAGACACAAACTGTTAAAACAAAGGCGACGAGGTAATCTTTAGATAACCTTTTCCCTGGGGAAGAATGAACGATAATTATTAAAAGCAGCAAAGAAGATCTAATTCAAATTTATAGTCTTAAATGAATTTTTAGTTGCTGAGCTCAGCTTTAATCTAAATCAAACTGTGGAAATCCTGCTCTTGTCTGGGCATCATTAGCATAATCCCAGCATTGTCCAGGCCATTGTTTACCAGCATTAGCCTCTTGTTGAGGTGAGTTGGTAATGACTCCCGCTGATTGACCCACCACCCCTCCCCTCCCGACCGGCCCCTCCTCTCTGCTCTGGGGCCAGATGGAGGGCCCCTCTCAGGCGTGAAGGGTTTAAAGAGCCGGGCTTCAGGACAGTTAATGGCGCAGGTCCATTCAGACTAGTGTTGCTCAAGGTCTCGGGGCTGTCGCTTTCACACCGTGCTCACAATGTGTTCACACAGTGGCGGCAGCGCTGAATGGCAGTGCGCAGATGCAGGGAGGTCTCATCAGCCGCCGCCGATGCATGTCGTGCACCTGTTGTGTGCCACTGATGAGGCTAAAAATACCCCAAATGCTTTATGTCAGTTTGAAGGAGGAAAGGGAACATATCAGTGGGTTTAAATGTTTTGGGTGGTTTTCTTCAAATCGCTTCATTTTTACACCACAGCTAAGCTTTTAGCACAACATGGTGATATTTTTAGAGGTTAAGATGTATTTTTCCTACAGGTCATTGTTGCTATTGTTTGCTATTCCAATCTGTACGACATCAAAGTCTATCAGCAAAGTCAAAACTTACTGGAGTCAGACTTAGATGATCGTTATTTTTCTTTCATTCTCTAGACGCAAGTATAACAGGTGATTATCTAAAATGTCCTTTTTCACTGGAAACACCTGCATGGATGGATCAAAGTTAGAAACTACACGTTCTTTAGCTTTAGGTGAATATTCAGATGTGCTACTGCTTTTTTATTTTTTTTGTACAGTTCATAAACAAACAGAAGCCAGTGGCTGTCAGAAGCCTTGTGTTTTGTAATTTCAACAGGAAGATGTTCATACCTAAAATGCGTGATCTGGTTCTCCAGAAGAGTCATGAGGCGACTTCTGATGGCCTCAAACTGCTCTTTCTCCTCCACAGTCACAGTCCCCATCCCATCAGGCCTGACGTGACCGGAAAAATCAGACAGAAGACACCATTAGATAACTTCTACCTTGAAATCATAGGCTGTAGGCAGAAATGAACTTGGCTGATCAAGATGACTAAATTACATTAGGGTACAGTAATGATACTTTTAATTCTCAGACAAAAGCGAGTTTTTAAACAAACAAACAAAGGTGATCACTAATATAAGGATTTATAAGGTAATATCAGCATACTGTTAACCCCATTGTCTTATCAATATAACAGTCACATCACATGTCCATAAATGTCTATACTTATTTATGATGGACTAATTTATTGATGCATTTTGTTTTGTTCCTTCTGGTAATATTCCATATTCTGTAAGGATAATTTCAGTAAAAGCAGAATCCAGGAGACACACGATGCACCACTTGCTCTGATGCTCTTACTTTAACATACAAAAAAAAAACCATCGTTCACTTGCTCATTACAATTCCCTTTGCTTCTAATTTGGTGATTTTTACTTGATTGACAGTAAAGTCAACACTTTCTGCACATGTTTAACATTAAAACCTACAAGGAAATTAAAAAAAAGCATTATGATATCTCAGCGAATGGAAAGCTTTTAAAGTTTAATGCATTTTCAAGATTTTTTCCACAGATAGCGGCTTAACAGTGGCTGAAAAAACAGCCGGGTACAAGTAATTAAAATGAATTTGTAAATGAGCAGTATTTCTGTTTTAAAAAAAAAAAGAAAAAAAAAAAAAAACGTAGAATATGGTATGAACACATACAAAAAAATTTATGAAACACATCTTATAAATACAAAGCCTGTTTCAAATCTTTCTTCAGTTGACAAAAAGAAAAACCTTTTCCACTATCTGAAAGTCTGAAATATCCAGCATGAACTCTAGAGACTGCCTCTTTGATATGCTGTTGACATTATGTAGTTTCACATAAACACTCTTTATCAAAAGATTTTCGCTGCAAATACCAAGACATTTCTATAAGTAAGGCCTCGGTACCAGCTGAAGGTCTGAAACATCCAGAAATAAAAGACGAAGCGATAAAAGCTTCAAAGAACAATGAAAAACAAAATGTGAAGCCATTGAAAACAGCTCAGACAGCTTTTTATGTCTTTGGTTTCTTTTTTTTTTTTTTCCTCTCCTCACTCTTGTTTTCACCAAACAAACTGATCAAGCAGCCAAACTCTCCATCGTGACCTCAAAGTCAACCAATCAAACAGAGAGCTGCTCGGGCTCGTCTTCGTCTTCACAGGAAAAACTGTTAGTTGAACGCTTCATTAATGTTTTTAAAGCCTTCATTCCCTTCTTGCCTTCGTCTGAATAGGTACTCTGGTAAAAAAGGGGAAAAAATGCAATCAGTACCCAGAGCGACCAGCCTTGACTTTCTGGGCTTTTTCTGTACAGCTGAAAGAGAAAAGCACCCTCTCCAAACGGCACTCGCGGTTGCTGGAGGGAAGAAGCGAGGAGGTTGTCTGTTAATGAGTTGTTCTTATAAAAGCCTTCGCTGGTTCAGCCCCTGACCGCTGTGCCTTGAGTACCAACAACTCCGCCGCACTCCTCATGTCGTGTTCCTGACTCTCTAAAGTTGAAAATAATAACATGAAGAGAAAGCTGCAGAGTCTGAGAGAGAGTAATGTGAGTTGAGGATACTAAACCGTCACTGATTAACATGCTATGAAGCAAGAAATATTGAAATTTACTGCAGAGCTTCACTGAGGAGAGAAAAAAAATCTTTTCATGACGGCCCTAGAAAAAAACAACAGTAACACAGAAACATCTTAACATAAAAGAAATGGGTAAAAACGTAGAATATGTAGGCGTGAAAATAAAAAAGGATTCAACCTAAACAACATATCTTTATTTGGTAACTTTTGTTGTGCTTTTTTCAAAAATGTATTGATTTAGAAAACCATCTTAAATTACATCCAATATAACGATTACATTAAAGTTACATAAAAGCTAAGGAAAATATTAAATTATGAAAAATGATATTTACCATTTAACTACTTCAGAAAAATAAATACCTAAAAGTAACAGTAACGACCAAATAACAACATTTAAATCAATAAAATATACAAATACATGTTCAATTGGATAAAGATTATTACACATAATAATCAAAATAATAAAAAAATGACGGAAATTAAGCGACAGTGAAGTGCGATTCACAGTTTGTGGGAGGTGGAGGTTGTACAAATGGTGGATGACAACAAGAAGTCACCATGTATTGTGTGAGAACATCACCAGAACCACTCTTCAGCTCCACTCTACTCCATTCATCCTGTAATGAGAGGCAGCTTTCTATACACAACGGCACTTGTTAGTACAACTTATAAACCCTGTTGTTCTCCAAATCTGTCTATTCTATTCTATTCACTGCTCCCCACATCCCCCCCAAAAACCTCCCCACCCCCTATTTAACAAGCACCAGTTAATCCAGAGGAAACAGAGAGCAGAGTTGTTGGGAGGGGGGGCGTGTGTGCTCACTCATGTAAGAGGCAAGAAAAGTTTGCTTTCAAGTTGAAGGAGCTGAAGGTCTTGCTTCACCCACAGACAAATGAAGACGTGAGGACTGTGATCAGAGCGAGGTGCTCACTGTGGGGATGGATGGAGGGATGCCCTCGGGCACCAAGCCCTCGCAGTTAACGCCAGCTGTCCTGTAATCCGAGTTCCTCAAATGATCAGTTTGCAGCTCGGAGTGAGATGGCAGGAAAGGAAACTGATTGATCTGTTTTGCAGCTCTTGGTAATTTTTTTTAACAAAGCAGGCTTAGTGTGAAAAGGCTGGAGCTAAAGTCTGACTGTTCTTAAGTTAAAAGGTTTCAGCGGTTGCACCAAAACATATTTCTGTAAGACATCGAAATTGAATGTTTTATTATTAATAAATCTGATTGTTTTCTTATTTTCTTCATTTCAAAAATATCAGAACAGAGTCCTTCAATATTCAGCTGAAAATTATTCTCAAATAAAATCAGAATTAGACAAAGCAGAGTACATCTATGTATCTACATTTGTAGAATATTATATATATATATAATAATAGTTAATATTAACTTTAGAATATGTATATTCTAAAGTTAATATTCAAATAATAATAATAATATAAAGATCGTCTGTATTTGTAATTCAGTCCAAACCAAAAGTAAAAGACTAAAGAGTTTCCTCCTCTTAAGCTTTTTACTTACAATTTAGAAAATCTTAACCTTGAAAACAGACAAACAAACAAACAAACAAACAAGGATCTAAAAAAAAAATTGACCCAACACCTTAGGTATTATATTCCTGTCTTTATATTCAAATGCTTGTTAGGATGACAAATGCACGTTTTCCCACACAATCCCGTTGTGCCCTCAGGGCTGATTGCAGAGTTGTTCAAGTGCTGCTGAGAAACTTTTTTTAATCATAACTGACAAAACATTGCTTAATTTAAAACAAACCTCCCAATCAGATGTAACCGGAGAAGCGATTTCTCTACTCAGGAAGGTTGCATGTGAACGAACAATCTCAGCTGCATTTTCTGCCGCGTTTCTATGAAAACTTTAGAATAAATGAACACAAAAGCACAGACAAGTTTCTTTTTAATGGGGTGACAGTGGTTACTCAATTCAATTTAGTGTGTAGGAAGCAGAAATAGTTTTCTCTCGTCGTCACAAAGAGCTAGCCAAGAGCTTTCAAACGATATTTGAAACTCAATTTTCCCCACAAATGTCACTCACACTCTCCACTTCCTCTGAATCGAATTACAGCAGAAAACAAATCAGATGGCGAGCATGTTGGCAGAAGGCCAAACGCAAAACGCGCCGAGCTCCGAGAAACACAACACAGTGTGGTGTTTGGTTTGGTAGCTCTCACGGCAGAGTGGGGAGCGGCAGCTTGTCGAGGTTCAGACACATTGTTGCTGCTAAATGAAGCGAGCACGTTGGAGGCAAGGATGCTGTCAGAGCCGCTGCAGGGCCGGGGGGAGGTGGAGGGGAGGGCTGACTCTGTAGACTGAGGTTAGTGTGTTTACACTCAGTGTGGCTCAAGTGTAAACGATAAGTACCATGTCCGCCTGCGGGATCCACCAAACCCTCTGGCGGTTTGGGTGCTGATGTCAGTTGACAAGAGCTGTCACGAGTCGAACTCGCCAAGCGGCGTGGCAGAGCACCGGGTATGGATGCCACTTCACCTTAAGAGGTGTGGAAAGGAGATGTGTCTGAGCGGCAGGTGATCCTGTGTGTCACCTTCCTCCTGCCCATCGCCGCTCGGGAGACGGGGCACGTCGTACGGAGGGTTGGGGGGGAAGTAAAAGCTCCTGTCACATCCTGTGTTGATGTGGTTTAGATGGCTCGGAGAAGAGAAGATCTAACCTGACAGGTAAGAGGGAGGTGAGCACCCTCCCCACGATTCCGGTAATGCTCCTTTAACCCCGATCCAGGTTCAAACGCACCCGTCTCATCAAAGCAAACCTTCAGACTAGTCACAGCTCCTTCAACCTAGTTTTTCCAGCAAATCTGGCGGCACAAATACCCAAAGCTTTGCACAGCAGGCATTAAAGGCCCAACTTATTTTGTCATTTCAAGTGTTTTGGGTAAGATAGACTCTAATACAATTTATTACACTTTCTTTAACACTGTTAGCATCATTTAAATGTCACTTCAGCTGCCACTCTCACAAAGGAAACGCCTGTCAAGGGACACTGCAACAACAGTTGAACCTGGGAGGAGAATAGATTTTATACCTTACAAACATAGATGTCTCTTGGCTGTATCTACACTTATTTTTTCCCATACTGGATAGCTTTCTAGTTCTAAGAGGCACACAGCACTGGGGTGACGATTTGCACCACGAGCTTGTGGCTCTTTTCTTCGGGTTGCTATCTTTACACATCGTTCCTACTTGTGCTGCAGCAGCCCTAAACCCACACACCTTCTAATGTGTTTGGATGCTGATGTAAACTGACATTTGACAACATTAATACTTAGTTCTACAAGTCAAAACTAGTAGTTCTTGGTTGCTACATATATGTTATCAATCTATTCTAAAACAAGAAAATGCTGGTAAAACAATATCAAAAAGCACCTGCTGTCATTAATCACTTCACGTGGAAACATGGCGGTAAAAGAGGCTCTTTTGAAGCGCAGTTTTCCCTCTAAACCTTGTGAAAAGAAAAGATGCTTAATTTCAGATTCTTCAAATTAAATCATCATTCATAAAGGAGAGATAAAGAAGCTGTTGAACAAGAAGTGTCGGAGCATAGTGTACAGAAGAGGAGCTAATAGGCAACAGCTATGGATCAAAGCTTTCTGACAAAGTAAAAACTGAAATAATTTGTTTAATCTGTGAATAAGCAGTGAAAAAAAAAATCATGCTTTTAGAAAGAAAAGAAAAGAAAAAAAAAAAGCCAAGTATTAGGAATTAACCATAAAAAATAAAACTTGACCAAACAGCTAAGCAGATCTTAGACCACCAACAGTTAAAAACCTCGACAAGCTGACCTCACCTGTGGGAGGCTTTGACATAACAGAAAAATATTTACATTTTAAATCAAGGTCTAACATGTTTCTGAGAGTTTTCTTAAGAAAAGCACAGTGTTATACACTGAATATGTTGCCTTCAAGTATTAGTCAAGTACTCTCCTGTTGATCATTCTGTGTCTCTCTTTGAGCAGCCCTCGAGGGAAATTCGAGTTCTGTAATTAAGTTTTTTTTTTTGTTTTTTTTTCCACCTCCAAGCCTGCCAGCCATCCAAAACCCCTTTTTCCCATCCACGCCCACTGAGGCAGCCCGGAATCGGCATCAATTATTCAAAATAGAGCTCCAACTGACAAAAAGCCAATTCTAGTAATCATCCCCCCCCTCCTTAAATATATATCTACCGATTAGCTGGACAAGCTAATCATTACGCTTTCTAATTGACTAAATGGGTCGACAAAGAGAGAAAGCACAGATATCAGTAATTATCCCAGACAGGCAGTCAAGCAGTGGCTGATGGGAGTAAAGTGGAGAACTGAGGGCTGTACTACAAAGTGAAATCAGTGGGTTAGCGAGCTATGTTGAGCTTAAAGTCAGAGTTTTCAGTGTGAAGTGGCGCACTTTCAACCTGCTAGATCAACATGGTAACTGGTGCTGTGTGGCTAACCTGGTCTGGAGCAGCTTATGTTCCGGATTTAAATCGGCTGGAAGAAGCGTCTCCCTTTAACCAAATATTTCCTGACAGTTCTTTATGAGTGATACAGATGATCAGCTGAGGGAATGTGTTATACCAGTAAACCTGTTGAGCTGTACGTCACTATTCCCACTGAGTGAATCTGTGAAGTTACAGTCTCACACACGACACCGAGCTGGTGATGCAAAAATCACCAAAAAATTAAAGCGACATCCGGCATGATGGGACAGTGTCACATCTAAAAGCACCTCCATACAATATGATGTTTAAATGAATCAAGTCTGAAGTTTAACAGTTATAAAGTGCAGCTGTCGGTCTGAAATAAGCGACTGCATAGATCAGTAAAATATATATATTACGAACAGCTTTCTGCCAGTATTCCTTTCTGGTATCATTTGCAGCTCTTTCTACCATCATACATTTCTTAATTCCCCATTGTTCTCCATTAAAACAACTTGTTGACTGAAGCAGATGCACAACATCGTTTCATTTTGTACAGAGAAAAAGCCACATGACCTTTAATGTGCACGTGCACAGACTTCAAGCAGAAAGACTGAGTTGATAAAGAAAGTTGATACCCACCTTTGTGATACCCTCTGACTGGGGCTTTAGTTTTTGTCAAGCTAGTTCACCCAAAGAAAGGCCGGTTATGTCAGACTTGCTTTGTACTGCAGCCCTTTGAACTGCTGGAGTGATGTTCAGCAATTTACTAAAAAGACACCTAAGCTGGTCATATCTGGACAGTTTATTGCAGGTGAATGCAAGCCTGAAGGTTACCAAAGCTGAGACCCTGTAGCAGTCTTTTTGTGAAAAAAAGTGCTGAAACTTTCTAAAGCGGCTTCCACACAGTTTGCGGTATGCGCTGTGCTCACTGCCTGTTTCAGCTCCCAGGTAGATTGGCACACAAAATAGGTTTTTAAAGCTTTCAGTTTGATGCAAATACTTAAACAGTGAAGATGTATTTGTCCCCTGCTAAGTAGCAAGTAATAGCACCTGCCTTGCTAGTACGCAGCAAGCGTTACCACTATTCAGTTCAGTTTTATTTATATAGCGGCAATTCCCAACATGTCATCTCATAACACTTCACATACTAAGGTGAAGACCTTACGCACTGTCCTTGCCATTATGAAAACTTTCCTCCCTGAGTCTCAATACAACTGCAAAGCTGTGTCATATCATTTTGGGAATTCAGACCATAGATTGATTCAGACACACACAGCACCAGGTTTTCCTCCACTTTACCTTTCATGCAGGTGAGATGCCTCGTTTCTATTGGCCCGCTGATCAAACATCATAGTACACAGGGGTCAAAGTTAAACAAAATTAAACTCTTGTTATAATAATTAAATTAAATAAAAGGACTGTATTTTACTCTGAAGGCAGAGTACACTGTTTGTGTTTCACAGTACTTGAAGGTCCAATAATTTTTTTTACTCCTAATGTGTACTGTGACGTAGTTCCTGGTGAATCAGTGCCAGTGAGAGTTCAGATTGATCAGACAAGGTGAGGAAATTGTTTTGAAAAATCTGTCATTATTACTTGGCTTCATGGTGATGCCTACATGCAACAGAAGATGCTCCAGAAAGGAGACAGTTCTGTCCAATATTTAAATTTGTTCTATCTGTTTGCTGTCATTATTATTATCTATGAAGATGATCTCCTAGTTTGAATGCACAGTTCCCTCTCCTCTGCTGAAGTGTACACTGATAGGATCCAGCTTCCTGCCCAGAGAAACGACCAGCTGTGCTTGTTGGAATGCGAGGCTGAGCCGTGCTGCTTGGAATCATGTCCCTGCAGCACCACGACAATCGTAATCGCTACTGCTATTGCTGTGTACCTGTTCCCGTGGACATGGGAGGCGCAGAAGGCGTAGCTGTAGTGTAGCAGCGTCGGGTCCACCAGCGCGTTGTTCTCTGAATAATCCATGAGATCCTTCAGGTAGCTCAGGTGGCGGTGGCAGCCTCGAATGCCGTACCGAGCGCAGTACTCGTCCAGGACAAACACCTGACCGGGACTGAACCAACCCTGATAACAAAACACACGCACACAGATGTGTCACACAACTTCAAACAACACTGGACTCAAAATGTTTACCCCTTAATCCTGTGTGATTTACTAGATTATAAAGTCTGGTTTGGTATCATTTAGACTAATTTTGACATCTTGGTTCATTTATTTAGAGTAAAAGGACAAATCCATTTTTTAAAGTGCAGCTTAACAATACAGATATGACTACATGTGTATTAAAAGGGTTATTGGTTGATGTTGTTGTTTCCTCTGTTCCTCTGAAAAATGACAGCAAACATTTTTAAAAAAAAAATGTACAGACATGTCAGTATTGGTGTAACACTGTAAACCTATTCTTCAAGAAAAACCTGGCTGCTTGGTAAACATGAGTTTGCTCTGAACTTCACTGATGGCTGAACAACCATTTCACAGCTTCCTCTTACAATGGGAGATATAAACAGACTGTAACCAATACCGGTCCCAATTTGGCTCGACAAACTCCATAAAAATCTTTGATACTCTACCACAGTGTAAAGGTCAGCATCTCAACTATTATTTCTCTGCAGGAGTTTAAAAAGAAAAACGAAAAGCAGAAAGGTGTGGAACAACTGGAACATCATGAGATGTTCATTAGTTCATTCATCCTGCACATAATCACTAAATTAGGCATGAAACTTACAACGCTAATTAGGATTCCACATGGAAGGAACATTAACAAATTAACACCTCCACTGAGCTGGCGCGCACACACACACACACACGAACACACACACACACAGACACACACACAAGCAACAGCTCCTCCTGTCTGACAGCCATGGCTCTCCGCCCAGCGACAGGCGACCCAGGAGAGAAGACGAGCAGCAGGGAAACTGTTTAACCTTTAGATCAGTTTGTTTCTGTTCTGGATTATCTGCCATTTGAAAGTCGAAAAGAAACTGTTTTTTCTTTTTTTTTTTAAATGAAATGATAGTAGATGCACCAAATGTGTATTTTAATGAAGAGATTATATAAATATACACAAGATATCCTACGGTCTAAAAAGTGATGTTGTGAAACAGTTCATGTCAGTGCAGCTCTTTGAGTGAAAACATTTCACAGAAACAGGACTGATATTACTATTTTATAACAGTCAAGCTGCTCAGTGGCTCAGGCGGTGCAGCAGGTTGTCCATTAACGGCAGGGTTGGCGGTTCAATCCCTGCTCCCTCCCCACGCCGAGTGTCCTTGGGCAAGACACTGAGCCTGAAGTTACTCCCCCCTGATGGCAGGTGAGCACCTCTGCATGCATGCATGACGTGTGAGCGTGAATGAATGAGAAACAATGTAAACTGCCTGAGTACGGCTGATGTAGAAGTGCTTTGTATGCACAGCCCACTTATAAAGTGGAGAAGGGGTCATGCTATAGAAATACATGGAGTCTGGTCTGAAATGCTGAGGCTTTTATAATGAACATTTAAGATTTCTTTTTACAATAAAGTTAATAAAAGAGTTTATCTTTACAATGTTTTTTTTTTTTTTTTTTTTTTAGCTTCCTTTGTTTTTTACCTGTTTTAAATATAAAGAATAAAAACATAAATTACTTAGTTTTGTGCTGATGTTCACAGTGTTTATAAGTGACTGACTGAGCATAACTGCTGATTTAAAAAAAAAAGTTACAATAGAGAATGCATTAAAAACACAATTTTCATGCAGTTTGTTTTTTGGTTTGTTTTTATTTTAATGTAGCTCTATTGGTGTATAAGAACACTGTTTTGCTAAACCCTGTGTTATATGCAGTGACAAGGCAGTTGAATAGTGGTGGTTAACATCTCTTCAGAACAAGCTCTAAGAAACGACTTGTGTTGCGAGATGACTTTAAAATCTCAAATGTCTTAAAGATCACTTAAGGACTTGAAATCCTACATTATTTCCAGGATGTTATTTAGAGTCTCCCTGACATGCTGCTTTCTGTCAGGGTTAACTGGACCTGGCAGATTCTTCCTCTGCAGGCCTTTTCGTGGCCCTCCACCCCTCCTCCCGCTCCTTCAGTTTGTTTGTCTTCTTCTTCAGCTTCTTTCTTCCTTTTTTCTCCGTCTGTGGGCTCGAGCTATTAATATCACACCACGGAGGGAGACAGAGGCCTGTCGACGGGCGTGAAGCGACAAGATGTTCCTCTGTGACAAACAGATGGCGCACTCCGGTCTTGGCGCTGACCGCTCAATTAGCAGCTAACGAGCCGCCTGCCTCGTTAGCTCGGTCCGCCGCGGCAGCACGAAGCCCCCCTCTGAGGAGCGACACGACCCGGGGAAAGTGAGTGCAGCGCGGCGGCTCTGAAGCAGCGAACGCCGTGGCGGACCACAGACTGGAAGCTGAGAGTAGGATGCTAAGGATTGTTCACGTTTGACCTCAGGAGTCTGACGGGTTTTTTTTTTTTGGCCCATGAAGTCATTTTTTTTGGGTCCAAGCATCCCAACAGACAGAGCTGTCACTTTACATTATATACAAAGTATTCTGTATATTATTAAGTATTCCGCGACCCGACTCCGGATAAGCGGGAGAAGATGGATGGATGGATGGATGGATAAAGTATTCTATGTTTGTGAGCATAAAGGCAGCTTTTCTTCAAATACATCAGCAGCACTGAGAGTCCACAACAAAAACCAGATCAGAGAAACGCATACGAGCTATTGAAGCATTCAGTCTGTTGTGTTTGATAAATGATTGTGGAGCACTAAGGGGCTGAAGGAGAACAACCAGACTGTAGGATTTTACTAAATAAAAGGCTCAGCAGGAAGAAATCAGGATTGTTTTCATACATGGATTCAATGATCTTATTGATTTCTCCCCCTGCGTACTGAGGGTGAGGTAAAGTGAAAGCAGAAAAATCAGTGAGTCGGGAAGCCTGACCAGCCACTACAGACACCACTGAAGAGTTTAAACAGAGGCATAGAATAATATGGAACCTGAGTGGTTTGATACATTTTTATAGAAGGGAGGTTTCCAGAGTGAATTTTAAAATGAATGTCTTTGTGTGTGTGGCAATTAATTGGACAGAACAAGACATTTGAATTCATCACCTTGAGTTCTAAAAAAATAAAAAACAAAAAACAAACAACCTCTATTTAATTAAGAAGTTAATTTGATTAATGCTGACAACAATAATCAGCTGCAGCCTTTAATTAAAGCAACATTTTTAGGCAAAATGTACCCTCACAGGAAACTGTGTTAACACAAAGTGACAAAAAAAATAACAAATGCAAATAAAGAAAACAACAAGGCAGGTCTCCAGATCACCTAGTGAAGTGGAGTTAGACATTATAACCAGAAAATCCTAAAGTTGATCCTTGATTCCCAACAACTGACTAGATCCTGACCAGGGATCTGCGGTGGGACACTGAGGGCCTTTCCATCCATCCTACTGTCTGCTAAGACTGGAACCCAAAGGTCTCCTTGAAGTCAGTTTTCTATGGGTGCCTGTTGGTTAATATACTGCATTTCTTTTTATGAACATGCTAGAATTAGAATTAGAATAAAACTTTATTGATCCCTTCGGTACAAGACCTGAGGGAAATTGCTAAATGTTGCTGTAATGTTTTAACAATGCAGTTTGAGTTCAGAAATGATTACTTTGGGCTTTATTATTTTACAGTTTACAGTTTAATTTAGAAACAGTGTAATTATGACAAAGTTAGTTCAGAGAGTTCTACGAGGTGTGTCGTTTGGGTTTGAAATATATCTTTTATGACACCAGTCCTGAAACTTTTCTGACACATCTTGGTAAAGACACATTTTGGTAAATCTTTGATGGTGCTCTTTGTTTTTTTTTTTGCTCGTCCTTGGAGGTCAGTCGCTCATCTCTCTGTGTGAACACTGCAGAGCAATCTGGAGCCTCTCTCTTCTTCTGCAGATTCCTTTAATTAGCATAGATGTAACTGAATCACTGGGAAGCTTCAGATTTAAAGGCACCGTGTGCATGCATAGACCTGGGTAATTACTGTGTATTAGAGTCTATAATGGTGGAAACACCATGGGAAGTTAATTTGGCAGCAGGACGTTTAGACAGGTTTGAAGGGAGGCGAAGACACCTGCGTCCTCATTCTCCAAAAAGTGGAGACACGGGGTAAAGACATTTCAAAGTCTCAAGAGTAAAGGCAGACAGGAAACCAGAGTGAGTCAGAGTCTTGTGGATTAAAGGTACATATTGGTGTTCAGATGCTGTCCAGTTCAGTGCTCATTCTCCACAACCTCCTGACCCTGTTCCTTCTGCTTCACCAGCCAGAGGTTTAGGAGGGGTAGGGGGTCCTGGGACGACAACAAGCTGCTGATGGTCAAAGTCATCAGCTTTCCATAATATTCAGGATTCATTTGTTTCTGTTTAAAGAAAAAAAAACAAACAAACTCTGCACACTAGTATTAATATAATGCAGGCACCATTTAAACCTAAATGTATATATTTGTATGGATTTGCACGTTTCTTCTTCTATGATGCTTCAGGAGCTTTGTGCATTTTGAAGTATGACATTAAAAAACAGCACAATTAGAAAAATCTTTTCCAGTTTTATAGAAAACAGTTTTTGTGATTTTTGACTTCATGGGAGATGAAAAAAAAAAAAAAACTTTTCTGAATAAGCTCTGATGTAGAAAACGTTTGACTCACATAGCTGATAAACTGTTTCCACTTCTGCCATTCACATCCACGGAGTGTCGTTTATTTTGGCCAGGGTGACTTTGTTTGAGTACTTTTAAAAAATACTAATTCTGCTCATTTCATCTCATTGGTTCCCCAGTAAAATCTGAAGCATCTATAGAGTTACATAATGGAAATATGTTTTGGATGGTTAGTAAGTAAAAGAGCCATGTGTTTATGAAAAATAATACAATGACAAAGTAAACTGGTGTCAAGACCACTGTTGAGAAGACCATTGCGCTAACACAGCAGCTCCAAAGAAGAAAAAAAAGAAAAACACTTCAGGAAAAAAGCTCAACATGGTTCAGTTTTTGTGCAATACAGCATTCTATTCAAATATCTGTAAGCCTATACTTTAAGAAGATTACTTACATGTGACACAACATTTGTATTTCTACTGTTTACCTTATAGAGGACAACAATATGTCACTGTGACAACAACACAGAATTCTCATGGTATTATGAATTACTTTGCAGTGTTTTGGGGTTTAAAAAACACTACAGTTTGACAGCAACACTGATTTATTTGAGTTTCACTTGATGACCAGTTAGGAAGGTCACCACATGTGACAGGATGCTGAATTCTTTGGTTGACTCTTACTTTAAAAAGACAATTAACTGTTTGTGTTTTTTTTTGTTTTTTTTGGTCATTGCGATAATAATAAAGTTTTGATTTAGGCTCATTTAGGAGCTCCCTATCATGAGTGAAACTACTTACATCACAAGTTTATCTTACAAACATTAATGATTCAACTTAATACTCAACCGGCAGCTTCGTTGGGGTATTTAACCCTTTGATCGCCAGTGGGAACTACACTGATCCGGTTAGCAGGACTCTGGGCCCCTGCGACAAACCAAACTTCTGCTTAATTACTGTTGTTGTTGTTGGGTTCAACTCTTTGTGAATAAAATATGACCCAGTCCATGACATGAATCCAAGCCACTTCTCAACAGATGTCCCCCACGCCAAGGCACTGGCCTTTTCTCAGAGTGTTTGGTGAAAAGGGGCTCAGGTTGGAACACAAAGCCCTCGAGTTTTCACAAAAGGCTGAGGAGAGAAGAGCTGGAGGGGTGGTGTGAATGGATTGGTCTAATTGCAGAGCTGGAAGGAGTCCTGGTGAGGCAGGTAGAGAAATGAAAGAAGCACAGATGTCACTCTGGTGGACATCTCCTCGTTTTGCTGCTTTTAAAGGATTAGAGAACGACGCAGCACATGTCAGGATGAGCTGACTCCTCGAGATCTGTCTTAGTTTGTGTTTAAGAGAGAGTTTTAGTGTCTCATGATGGCCTATAATAGAGGATGGTTTTAATCTAGACAGAAATTAACTATGAGAACTCAAAGTTCAGCCTACACCATGTAGTACCTACCTCAAACATCCCTGAACAAATATGCATTGGGCAGGGCACATTACCCTGCTAAAAGATGCCACTGCATTTAGTGAATACTGCTGCCATGGAGGGGTGTACATGGTCTATAACAATCGGTAAGTGCTACATGTCAAAGTAACATCCACATGTATGCAGGACCCAAAGTTTTCTAGCAGAACATTGCCCAGAGCATCATACAGCTTCTCCAAGCTTGTCTTCTTCCCATAGTGTATCCAGCTACCATTTCTTCCACAGGTAAACGACACGTGCACCAGGCTGTCTACATGATGGTAAAAAAAACAGGTGATTCATCAGAACAGGCTGCCCATTCCAGACACTTTCAGCAGGGGAAAAAGGTCAGCACTGACTCTCTGACCAGTCTGCAGCCACACAGCAGCATAGCTGTGGAATCGGACTACGTGGGCCAACCTTCACTCCCCACATTCATCAGTGAGCCTTCGGTGCCCATGTGCCTGTCACTGGTTCATTGGTTATCCTTGCTTGGACCGCTTTTGGTAGGCAACCCAGAACACTCCTAACACTTGCTGCTTTGTAAGTGCTCTGACTCAATCATCTGGTCATCACAGTTTGGGCCTTTTAAAACTAACTCACATCCTCATTCTTGCTGTTTTTTCTGCTTCCATCCCATCAACTTTAACCCTCGTATTACCTTCAAATTTACTGACATCTTCTATCCTTGGGTTCAATTTGACCTCAACAATTTAAACCTCTAGAAAATATTATTATTAAAATTGTTACCCAAGTTTATGTGTAAATAGCCCTTTAAATAAAACTGAAAAAATTATGTCAATGACTTATTTAGAGATGTTAAACGCTGACTTTGGTCAAACTGACCCCAAAGATAATATGACGGTTAAGAACATATACATATCCCACCTCTTTGACAGGTGCCATTTTAATGAAATAATCATTTTTTGCTCATTTTATCTGTCAGTGGTTTTAATGCTTTGGTTGATCTGTGTATGTCCACAGTACAAGTAGAAAGCTCACAATGAATTATTGTTATAGACCTCTATGACTTAGACAGCTGCCCATGGGAGTTATGCTTTACTAAAAAACAGACGAGAAAACTGAGTTCACAGAATTTTGAAAACACCATCAGTGTGGAGTCAATGCACATCAATACTGATAAAGTTAAAACGAACTGATTACGTGTTAAAACACAGACACAAACAAAGGTCAGTTCAAAGCAAGTTTCAACTCCCCAAGAGTAAGTTCAAGACAAATCTATACAATTGCAGGTTACTAGTCTAAACTGTTATGTAATACTGCTCAGCCAGTTAAAGTACAGTCTTCAGCCTGACAGTCTTGACTGATCTTGAAACACTGTTTCAAAGCAGTACTATGTTCTCACACAGTGCTGAGTAGAAAGTGGTGAGAAACCTTTAAAGGCACAGCTCTAAAAATGTGAGTGCTGAAGACCTGCTTGTCACTGTCTGAGTCCGAGCCTCCAGCTCCAGTGAATCACAGAAATGCAAATGATTGCATTGATCTTAGCCCAAAAAAAAAAAAAAAACAAGTCCTGAGCAACTTTACTTAGATGTAAATCCAATGTGTGGGATCACAACGCCACTGGACCAAACAAGCATCGACACAAGTGAATACAAACAGCTTGTGTGATGGCTTACACTAGCTGATTAATAAAATTTTGTTAAGATTGTAGTGAGGGTTAGAGAAGATAAAGGTTTCTAGGTGAACTCTTACTGCTACACAAACTTCAACCATGTCCAAGCACATACACGCTGTTCTGCTTTTGTTTTTTTAGGTCTTTTACTATCTCCACTTTCCTTGAATGGACTAAAATCAATTTGTTCACTTGAACAGTAGAAAATAAAAGCATTAAAGTAAATGTGCATCATATCTAGCCAGTTTAGGGGTTTGTGGTTTTTGCTTAGTTGCACACAACACAAAACCCCTCATTTTACACCCCCGCCCACACACTTATTTAGGCTGCTCCCCCTCCTTTCTCCTTCTCCTCCATTCAGTCGGCCCAGCAGTTGTCCATGAGGGTCATGTTCCTATTTGGAAAGTATTGATTAGAGCATTTAACCCCTCAATCAGTGTTAGAGAGCCCCCAGGCTTAAGACTGAAAGAGAGAGAGGGAGGGAGAGAGACAGGGAGAGAGAGAGAGAGAGAGAGAGAGAGAGAGAGAGAGAGAGAGAGCTTCTCTGTCTCCACCCCTTCAAACTGTTTTACTTTCTTTAAGAGTGTTTTTCTTATTCTCTATCTCCTCCTCTGAGCGTCAACAATTAGTTTTTCTAATTTGTCTATGTCAGCAGATGCTTTCATATAACCATGAAAGATTTCAAGACCCAAAGTTAACACATTAAAATGTCTCATTTTGTCTAACCAACAGTCCAAAACATTCAGTTGTCTCTCAAAGGAAAGGAAGAACCCAGCAAAGTTCCACATCTGAAAAGCTAGAATCATTACAACATTTGCCATTTTGGCTTTAAAGTGACCCTTTACATATTCAAGGCTTCTGTATGGGGACAAGTCTTATTCATCCTCATGCTTTCTGCCACCCTTTATTGAATGTCGCATTGCATGGTGCATTTATTAAAGAGGTTGTCGAATACCATGCGCTATGCCTAAACTGGATGTAGCTTTGTTGTGCTTCATTTCTGTTTCATCAAATTCCGCAGGTTCAGTACATACTAAATAACATCTTCTTCTGTTTTAGCTTTTCATCAGGTGAGATAAATACATCAGTTTTTGCTGGAATTTTTTCCAAACCTTAGTGATGGGGACACACAGACTTGTTGTATTTCAAAACTCTCCCAGGTGTCTCTGATCTATAAAGCCCAAGGTTGTGCTTTTTTGCCTCACGGTTGTTGAGCTGTTGTTGACTCAGTCTGGTGATGTTCTTTTCGGTGCAAATCCCCAAAAACAGCCAATGGTTGCAGAATAATCTTTTGTGAATTGACTAATAGATTAAGGTAATGAACTACAGCCACATACTGAGTTAATCTGACTGCATGAAACAAGACAGAAATCTGAAACAAAACAGTAAACTTCACCTCAGCATAAACTGTTTCACCACCTTTCATCTACAGAATATCATCTATAGAAACACTGGCTCAATTTCATCTTTTGTCAATCTTGTCTGACTCGAATTGTTACTTTTAAATGAGCCAAAACTCACTGGAAAGAGCAGGATTCTATTCAAAGTTTCATGATTTGTCTGATGAGTTTGTTGCTTTCATAAATTTTCTAATTGTGATGAAATAAACAAATATTAATTGTGCTTTGTGCAGTAAAGCGTTGCACAGTTGCACACAACATACAAGTATTTTCCCCACAAATCTTCAGGTCTACAGAACGTCAGCAAATAACACAAAAATCTATACAAAGCTAGCCTTTTGAGTAAAAAAAGAAAAAAAAAAAGATGTAAACAGGTAATATTTTTTCAAAGTCGTTAATTTACTGTTTATCTAAACTAATCCTTTCAGCTTCCACATAATAATCTGTTTAAAATCTACTGATACATTTTGCCCTCCAGACGCTCTTTCCTGCTGCACCAGAATGTGACGCAGCTTTTAGTTCTCTTTGATAATAATATAGAGGAACTAAGAAGTTTGTGTGAGCAGTGACAAAAGAACAGAGCATCACCGCCAACATCAGTCCCACCCACCTGTCTGACTGACAGCCGGCCTGACACCTGTGACGCGCTGCGGAGAATTGGTATTGGCATTTCTTGATGACAAAGTTAGGAGGGTGTGTTTGCATTAACGTACCAGGCAGGAGAAGGAGTCGTTCATGCGGTGCTGCAGAGTGTTTTTCTGCAAAATGGTGAACAGGGCCGCGTGATCAAAGCGACTTGGAGCTACAGAGATTAACTCCTCCACTCCCTGCCGCTGAGTTGGATCCAGACCTTAGCAGGAGAGGGAGAAAAAAGATTTGCACTTAGTTACACAACCACATCAATACAAATAATATTAGGATTAGATGACTAGATGTATACATTGAAAGCAAATATGATTCAAATCATTCATTTTAAACAGTACAGCTACAACTTAGTTGAGAAAACGAAGCCCCTGACGTTTACTTTCTGCCTCAATACATTAAGGACACATATTAATACCAATCATTATCATTAGATCTAAATGAGGAAAAAACATGAGCTGCAAAAATCATCCACACACAAAAAAAAACCCTCTTCAGGATGCATGCCTGTGAGCAGCAATATGGCAACCACGATGAAAGAAAGAAAAAATTAAGTTTGAATTAAGTCTGTTGAATTAGTTTTGTAGTTTCAAGCTGTGTCTAAATAATGCACAACATGAACTGTGTGAACAATACACTGCTGCTGCATTAGCAGGAGAGTCCTCATATGTGAGGATGTGCTACCTGGAACTAAAGTAGAGCTGAATTAGTCTTCATAGCAAGGTCACTATAGCAGGAAGGAGGGGTGGAAGTGTCATGAAGTACAATAAATAAACGACTGCACATCGCTTTTTTTTTTTTTTTTTGCATGGTCCTGTCAGTGCAACCACAGCTAAAGAGGTGATATATAAATGTGTTCGAATTCACAATCATTCACGCCTCTGCAGTGAACTGAAGTGTAAACACATACAGACTACATTGGCAGTGTCAGTTCTCAGTGCTGTGGTTAATGGTTCCCACCTCGGTTGGCTACAGATCCTCTGTGAAGCTGTCAGTACTCCCAGCTGACACAAAACACTCGCCAACATGGACGACATGTGAGGAAAACACTGGAAGTCGCTCAGAGTGGAAAAACCAGCCCAGAAGACAACAGCACATCACTGACGAAATGCAGCAAGAGATCAAGCTTCAAATCCACATGAACAGAGATTTGGATGTGGCTCTTTCTTACATTGTGAAAACGTAAAGCAGAAAATGTTTGGCAGTATTATATTAAAGGTTACGTAATAGTCAACCAGAGATCTGTTCGTCTCCTGAAAGGCCACATGTTGAAAGACTACATCAGTGTTAAAAATGTTGTCATCATTAGGTCACGAGATGACAAATGTTAAAAGAAATGGTTTAGAAATCGTATGGCTGTATTTTAAAAAACGACAGCAGAGAACTGACAGGAAAGGAAGGAGAGATGTGGGGAATGACGATCGGCAGCTCATAGTTGGCCAAAACAGAAATGTTAAATCCCTCTCTTTATTTGGAAACCCAGTGGTCCCTACCACAAACAGAATATAAAAGATGGACGACCATGACATCACCCACTGGTTTGTGGACTTCTGTTTTCAACCATCAGGTAGCTTTTAGCATGTTAGCCTAGAAACCGGACATGTGAGTCATGGATATGACTGAAGAACTTGCGGATATTATAGATGGTCAAAAAAAAAAAAAAAAAAAAAAAAACACACCAAAACATACCATCCATGATCACACAAGTTACCAAAAAAAAAGAAAAAAAAAAAAAATTGAAAAGGGTGGAAACGACCGTAAACGAACAAAAAAAAAGTACAAAAAGGTTAAAGGAGAAAAAAGATGAAACAAAACACCACAAACCACCAGACTCCACTACACTTCGACACAGTTGGAAAACCAAAGGAAACAAAACCAGTCGCCTCCCAGAAACAATCAAAAACAAAGGCACTTGTGGCAGATTTTATTTTAAGTCCCAAAGGGTCTGTTCATCATGTACTGTCTATAGTTCCTCCTGAATATGTAAATATTTAGCTCATAAATAGAGTTGATAATTTTTGGCCAAGCAGTTAAAAAAAAAAAAAAAAAAGTGATTCAAACAGGAGAAAATTGTGCTTAATAAAGGGACTATTTTTAGCAGTGAACTCATACATGTTCAGTATAGTCTGATGTATTTACAGAGTCACACAGTGGCTTTATAGTCTGTACAGCAAACACCCACTGTCTGTAGACCCTCAATACAGATAAGGAAAAAGTCAAAAAGAAAATATCGCTGAACTGCAAAAAAAAAAAAAAAAAAGAAGAAATTTCAGAAGTGCAACGAAACAGAATTCACTCCTTCAGGATGCTATAGATACAAAGAAAAATATGTGTACAGAAAAGCCACATAGCAAATTGTCAATATAATCAACTGAGACAACAAAATCATTGATGGTAAACATAAGATCTAAAAAAAAGTCATGGAACTTCCATATTTGATGCTCTAATAGGCATTCATGGCAGCAGGTCAGTGTTTGTGGGACTGTGTCAAATCAAACTGTAAAAATGGAGCATTAACAAATGTCAGGGCCTGAACACTTGTACAATACCAATTAGAGGAATAGATTCATTGTTGGTTTGGGTCCGCACACGATGATTTGTTAAGTATAAGAGAAAAAAACATCAGCTGACTTTCACCTTAAGCAAAATTGCAATGAATAGTAATTAAGTATTTTTGCACAGCAGCACTGATACTTTGAACTTCTCGTTCAGCTCGGACATGCAGCGCCTGAAGTAACAGACAACAAACAAGGCTTCGGGGTCAGCGACGCAAGAATCAACAGAACACAGGAAAAATAAAAGAAGCCGAAGAGGCACAGGGTGTCCCGGCCTGAGCAAACCTGGGTTCATTTCCAGTCCTTTCAGGCCTTCCTGTTAATGGCTCCACCAAATGAAAAGCCTAACACTCTCCACTCTGCCTTCATTGTGGGAGTACATTTCGGGATGGGAAGTTTCTGAGCGTGACACATGGCCCCACAAAAGACCACGGCTTGCCGAAGAATGTCAGCGCTGTTTCCACGCCTGCGACGCCCGCGGCCTCACGCCCGAGACAAGCATTAGTGATCGCTTTTTATTAACGCTGCCATTTTGTTTTTGTGTGGATGCAGAGAAGCCCGCGAGGACTCTCATACATTTGTGTTTTCCCTCCTCCTCCCTCCTTCCTTTGTCGCTTTTGTCCGAAAGAGAAAAAAAAGACAGCAAAAGTGAAATCTCCACAATCAACTCCCAATCGACGCTCCTCTGCTTTTCTTCCCATCTTCTTTTCTTCTGACTCTCCCACTTTTCTGTCTCTGGCTGCCCTTTGGCTCCCGTGGCCTGCTTTCCCTCTGTCTAATTCCGATGTAGGTCATTTTACATTCGTTACCTCCAAAACACGGGATTGTCCTTAATGTAATTTAGTGAAAAGACAGGGAGCGAAGGAGGCGACTCTAAAGAAAACGAGACAAAGAGATATAGATTAGTGCTGATAATAAGAGGAGGGGGGGGAGGGGAAGTATTGATTGGGGGACAAACAGCGGAGGAGTGATGTTGATCCGTGTCAAGTCCAACTTTCAGCTATTATCTGCAGGGTGTGTGAGTGGGGGGAGGTGTGTGTGTGCGAATGAGTGTGTGTGGCAGAAAATATGGATGGATGTCGCTGCTCCTGGCACAGATGGTGCTTTTTGGTCCAGGCTGTCTGCAGGTTTGTTCTGTTCTCTGTGTTTTTTGGAACAGTTTCTCATCAGTGTGAAGCCTGACATGCAAACTACCACGGTTCTAATAAAGAAGTTACAGTTAGCCCCAAATTATTTATACCTATGCCAGAAATTGATTCAGTAAATTATTTGACCAATAGGTTGCTTAGGGCTGTAAATATAGCATATAACACACTTAACCAAGTGACAAAGAGCAATAAGATATTATTTTACAGATCACAGGTAGAAGTTTTAACTATTTTTATTTATGTATTTGAATTAATTTCACCCATACCCTCTGTCAGTAGTCACTGACACTGTCTTTATTTGCCACCACAGCCCTAATATCATTGCAAAAACCTTTCAACACTCCTCTTTGTGACGATCTTGTGATCTTGAGGTTGGAAGGCTTTCTTGCTATAACGCTGGTCTTCTGTTCCCTCCACAGGTTCTCGATGGGACTCAGGTCTGAACTCTACCTGGGTCGCTCCACCTGCCAACATATTTTCTGTGAACCATTCCTTAACAACTTTGGCTGTTGGTCAAGTTTTTTCTGCAGACAGTCTGATGTTTTCCTCTACAATCTTAATGTTGTCCTATTTTCATTTGATGCCATTTACTTTGATGAATTCGCATCAGCTGAAGAACATCCCCAAGCACTACATTCCCACCACCATGCCTAATCGACAGGGTGGTGTTCTTGTCGTTGAATGCATCTCCATTCTTTTGCAAAAAGAAAATTCCATTTTCATCTTATTAACTCTGTTTTTAGCTTATCAGACTGCAAAATTGATGATGAAAAACTTTCTTCTTTATCCAGGTGAGTCTTTAGTGTCTTCCTTGTTCAGAGATGCTGGAACCAGAACTGCTGAGACTCATTAGGGTGGTTCTAATCCTTTCTTTTTGGCCTCTACAATTGTTGTCAGTGCAGGGGTCACTTTGAGAGTTAGAATTATCGCGCTGAAAGTGTCAACTTGGTGATTTTTCACACTGGGAAAACTCATTTTACCTTGTGTGCAGACATGACTCTATAGCCTTTCTCCATCTCGTGAGCATCCACAATGTGCAGCTCTCTCTCAGTGATGGACCCTAACAGCAGATCACTAAGCAGCTATCCAGTAACTGACCCACTGCATCAGCTGTTCTATATTGACTGTCCTTCAGAATGCCACAGAAATGACATTTTCTCAAAAGTTTGGAACAATTTCAGGAAATCTAAAAAAATCAGACATGCCATTTTATTAAACATGTAAAAAATACACTGCTGTAGTTTATCATTAACATGTCCAACACATGTCATAACAACTTCGATAACTTCCTTATGTTATTTCCAGCAAGAAAAACCTATTGGTCAAATAGAAATTCACTATAAATAAAGACATGGCAAGGTTGTGAATGATTTAGGGCCTAACTATAGGCAAAAATGTGCAACCACTCTAAATGTTAGAAGTAGTTTCTCTAAAGCAACAATAAGGTTAACATTGGATTACATGCTGCATTTTTTCCTGGCAATCCCTGCAGTTACATATTACAA